TTTTCTAAGTAATTAGTTATTAAATAATTTATAATAAAATAGGGGGATAACATTTGAAAAACAGAAGTTTGTATCGCCACGGGACACTCTTCAAGTAGTATAGACAAGTTCAAGAATTTGAAAACATATTCTTTGAGTTTAAAAGTTCAAAAATCAGAATTTTAATAAATTCATTATTAAATGAAAAAATTGGAGTAAGCATACTTGGTGGATCACCTTGTATATTTTAAAAACAAAATACCGAACTTAGTCACGCACAATTAATAATCAATATTGGTAGGTACTTAAAATAGATGCGACCAGGATTTAACTCCACCTCATCGATTAGTTGTGTTGGGATCCAGTAAGACATCACATCTGAAATCGCTGTAGATAGATTGAAACATTATCGCATTCAGAAATAGAACGATTGACATTTGATACGAATGAAAATTACCTAAAAACTATTAAAACAATATTTCTTGATATAATATTCTCTAATTTTCTAATTACACTAAAGTTCTGACAATGTGTTTATGTTCACAAATAATAATAACCAAATACTCTGAAAAAAGTAAAAAAGTTTTATCTATTTGAAGTTTATGTTAGATGATACAAATTATGTACTTAAAATTAATTGTCCYAAAGCCACCAAGAAATAATTAACCTTTTAGGCTCTAAGTTATCTATCAGTAAGCCAAACATTGATCGATGTACAGAAAGAACTGTCCATGCGGCACGCAGTCACGTCATTTTAAAATCATTACTGGGTTAAATGTACGACCATACATCTACTTAGATACTCTAATTTCTTCTCTTCCCCATTTTTAATTTAAAGATAAATTTAGTTTTATAACAAATCGTAGTTTTAAYATTTAATTCGCTTAATTAACGAACAACGGTGTGAWACATCTGTGCCATAGTATTATATTTTTATTATTACTTATTTGTCCTATATTATCTCAATAATTAACTCAATAACACATTTAATGCATATTGTCGGTTTCATTTTATTTTTGACAGACCAAATAAGAAGATTTACATAAGATAAGCCTCCTCCYCATTATAGTAACGCACGTTTAGTTGCGATTCTGTAAATTTTTCTATATTGTGGTTTTTGTTTTTACTTTGATATATATATAGGTATTTGATTAATATAAAACAGACATAAAAACAATAAGCTTTACTTACAAGAAATTTATTAGGAATTATATGAGAAAAAAGCGGGTAAGTGGGTATATCRTTCTGCTGTACATTAGGGGGTGGGGTGGACCTCTGACTAGGGTAGGTTAAATTTGAATGCAATGATAGGTATCATTGTATACGAAAAACGATTCTAAACCGAGACGGTTTATCTGTCTAGGATATATTATAGATAATTAAAAATTTTCAAATCTTAGATTTAAAAAGAAAATTTTTTTATGAATTCCTAGTTTGAAATAATTTGCGAATTTTCGTGATTTTTGTGATTTATTTATATAATATGTTGTCAAAATTCAAACTTTGAATGCTTGTAAAAAAAAATTGT